GGGGGGGAGAGCGGATATGTGGGGAAAGGATGTTGTTGCCCTTGGTAGATCTGACACGCCTCGAGTCCCTTTACTTCCTGAGTGTTGTGCTGATCTGATGGTGCCTTCATGTTCCATACTCCCAACTAGTTTTTTTCATGTTTTGAGAATACTTTGTTGAAGAAAAGAATTGAATACTGGGAGATATTAACTAAAGTCCAATGTGCACATTTTGTCAGAACATATTGTGTTTGGTTGGTCTACATTTCTTTTTTATATTTATGGTCCAGTGAGATTGTTTTTCTATCTGCTTCTCTCTCTCTCTCTCTCTCTCTCTCTCTCTCTCTCTCTCTCTCTCTCTCTCTCTCTCTCTCACCCCCCCTCTGTCCTACCGCCGATCTATCATCTATCATTTGCAGGTGTTCATCTGGTTCAAAGACTTTAAAATTTGTCATGCATAACACCCCCCCCCCCATCTCTCTTCCAAAATGCATCTGTATCATCCCCCTTTTCTTTTTTTTTCTATCTGTCTTCAAAGTTCCCTCTGTATGAGGTGAAAACAAGTCTACAATTAACAAATACTTGTGCTGGACATGTCTGGTGTATGTTCCTCACAACTTGTTGCTGAGTGTTTTTGAGTAGCTGGAATTGTCTTTCAAGGGAATAGTTATAGATTTTTTGCATATTGCAAACCGAATGCAGATTCAGAATTCCTTTGGCAGCATTTGCTTCCATATTTACAGAACTCTTTTAGTAATAATACATTATTTTCGTCCACTTCTCCTGTAAGTTCAAATATAGCTTAGTGTCTCGAATATCAGTTGAATAATTTTATTGCTTTCTCTCCCTTTGTCGAGTTAGCCTTTTATAAAATTGTTTCATGTATTTGCAGTGGACTCTTCACATTGAGACTAGTTTTGGAAGAGTTGAAACTGAAAAGGTTCCATTTTGTGTTTCAAGCGAATTTTAATTATATTTGTTTGTTAGCAATTCGTTTAGTTCAGGTTTAGTTTTTGTTCTTGATTTAAAAATTGGTTAAGTTCAGTATCATTGTCATGAAATTTAAGGAATGCCGGCAAGGAGCAGAATGGTTGGAGGTTTTGATAGTTAAAGACTTGAAAAGTCAGAAATAATAATGAAAAATGTTACTCGGACCTGTGTATGCCCATACTATGCACGCTATGCAGTAGTAGTTCTCCTGTATGCACTCATTAATGTTAATTCTCTGCAATAGTTTAGTCTTTCCCCACACCACTTCAACAAGTAAGCACTAAAGTACTTAAATGGAGAGGAATTTTTGCCTCAACAGTAAATGGGGAGGAGAAAATGACATTTCTTGAGCACCTTTTGTTTTGTTTTTTTGTTACAAGAATTTTTAAAGTAAAAAAGCACATAACTTTGTAGAATTTCTATCTTATAAGCTGAAACTGTTTTGTTTTTAAAATAATCGTTATATTAACTTATGTAGTAAGCTCTGCCCCCTACCCATGCAATGCCCTCGTTGACCCGACCTAAGCCCTGTGTCTTGTGAAGTGCACCCAACAACACAGACAATCTTCTGGCTTTTTGTTTTCAGTGGCAATATGGGTCAGGGGTACGTACCCGTTTGCTTGGCTTGAAGTTTGCACACTCCTCCTCATATCTTTTTCTCTCTCACTCTCTCCTGTACTTCCTCTTGCTCCCTCTCCTCTCTTTCTCACTGTTCACATGGGCACCGTCATACTCGGTCCTGATTGGCAGTTTCTCAAGATTGTCAATTATTATTGGTGTTGATTGAAGTAGAATTTGAAATGAAACAGGAAGTAAATAAAATAGGTTAGATGATTTATTCAGAAAGCTCGCTTTAGTGTAAGGTATTTATTTAATGTCTTTGAAAAGTAATTTATATACTCACTGTATTGTTTTCTAAAGGAATCATTCCGGTTTTCGGACTTTAGCGGAGTCTTCATTGTTCCCATCAAGGTCTTGTGAAAGTAAATTCTCTACATAGTTTCCAGTAGTTCGAGGGATTGATCCTGTGACTTAATGGGTCAGACAAAACAAACTGCTAGTATTTTGTAGCAAATCCCACTCCCACCTTTGAAAGAGTTGAAAGTTAAGAGAATCAGACTATCCTTTACGGCTGTCTCTTTTTTGGGTTTTTTTTTTGGCGTAGTCAAATTTAAGGATGAGAATATCTATGAATTATACATAGTCTAAGCTCTGAGAGACGAAAATACAGGGGAAATCACTAAATAGTTGTTTGTAAAGTCTAAAAGTCAACACAATTTCCTTTTGACATTTTGAGGCTTTAAGAAAAGACTATTGTTTTTAATACTTAATGAATAACTATTTTGCTCGGAATAAGAAGTAGGTGTTGATGACTTTCAGAATTGTTATCTGTTAGGAGCAGTAGAGAATTATTGTGCTGCTTTTAAATGGTTGGAAAAAATTATTTAGTCCACGCGTTTTCACTTCCTCACGCCTCTCTGTGAGTCATCCGTAGCACCCAAGGCACGTTAGTCTGAATTGAGTAGTAATCTTCTCCTTTCCCTATCCCAGTATATGCTGTCTGGCTGTTCACAGTTTAGGATCACTCCCTACCTAAAAAATGTGACTTGCTTGAGGAACACTAACCTTACTACCATAGAGCTTTAGTTCATCCTTTTTTAAAAGTTAGATAGGGCCTAATTTTCAGCAAATTTATTTATGAAAGATCCTGTGAATAGAAGTGTTAACGTACGCTCTTTAACATAACATAGTTTTGTTTTTGGTGTGTGCATCAGTTGATATTATTTTAGGGAGTCTTTTGGGAAGTTTGTTTGGGGAAGGGGGGGGGGGGGGGGTGTTGGTGTTTTTTTGGGGGGGTCCTGCCTTTCGTTGGAATTCGGACCAATTTTCATAGTTTGCTTCTATAATAAAGCAAAACAATGCTTTTACTTGTAGAGGGTGATTGCCTTTCACATTTCTCTTTGAACTTTTGTGTTTCTTTGAGTGCCTCACCTCCATTTTTGTTCTGACATTCGGCTTAGTGTTGTGTGGTCTTTCTCTGAATTCCTCTGTCTTTTCACCCTTAGCTTTCTCAATCTTATTTTCGTTTTCTGTTCCCCTCATTTTCTCGTATTTCGCGGAGATCTTTTCCTGTCTTTGTACGTATGCTGTTGAATTCTCTTTACACTTTTTGAGTGAGGTGTTCAGTTTTTCTCAATCACATTGTTCTCTTTCTTCCTCTTACCTGTTGTTTTCTTTTTGTTTTTAATGCTTGGGCCATTTTTTTCTTCTCACTGCGCACAAGTCTCTTACACAACGATGTGGTGATATAACAAAAAAGTCTTACCACCTCTGCCATGATTTTTTAAGAGTCCTTTTTAGTTCTGGGTCCTGCCAGACTAGATGATAGTATTTGTGATTGTCTGTGTCAGTTTTGTTGATGGTGTGAGAACTTGCCTCGTGGATTACTTTGTTATCTGACTGGCTCCAACAGAGGTTGCTTAATTTAAGCATATTATAATGGTAGTGGTCAGTCACCAGAGGGTATTATGTTCTGTTCACAAAGTTTTCTTGGTTCTGAAATGTGTGTACAGTCTGTCTTTGTTTGTTTGTGTATATGTTTATTTGTTTGTTTGTTACATCATGCTGTGTTTCTCAGCCAAATTTGTTAAAGAGAGTGTCATATTTTGTTCACTCTGTTTTCCCTTGATTGTAAAAGAAAAGTCGTTTGAAATGATTTTATAGTTTGTTTATTTATTGGTTAGTTCATTTGTTTGTTTGTTATTTTGTGCTGTGTTTCCCAGCCAGATTTTTTTTTTTTTTTGCATTTGAAGATCACTAGGGACACAGGGTTTGTTTGAAGATAATAACTTTAAGCCACATTTCAAAGCGTTATTCGTCTCCAAATGAGCTCAAACCGCAGAATGGCTTTTTCTTGTTCTTAAATGAAAACCATGATAGACACAAACAAATCTGATTTTGTTGCTTTGAATCGTAGAATGGGACTTCTTAGGGGAGATGTTCTTGCAGGAGCTGTTTTGAAAATATGCATAAGTTTTTGCCTCTCCGACTAGATATGGAGTTTGTGTCATATGGTAAAACTGAAGTGTTATGTACATATTTTTTTTATTTTTTTTTTTATTATTGTTCTTTTTTGTTAATCCTCCCTTGTGAATGTGAAAGTGCATAGTTTTTGGAGGCGCAATGAAATGAACTGTGCAGAATTAATTTGTATTGTCCAAATTTTTTGTCCATAAACTGTTAGTGACCCTAAGCCACTCAACAATATTGTCAATGTCAGAAATGTTCTGTTGTTCTGATCATGCACTGTTGGTGTGTTATGAAATGTCTCAGACCAACACACCACCAGACTTCACCGCTTTGAGGAGGATGAGCTGGAACCTGCACGCAGACGTCACATGTGTACTGAAGAATCTGTCGAGCAGATTTTTTTGCCCTCGCTATACTTTTGTGCAAGTGTTTTGACTCAAGCGATTGTCTCCCTCCCCCTCCTCCCTAGGTGCATATCACCGACAGTGGCGACAGTGGGCCGCGTTGGAAAGTCAGAAGTGGACAGGGGAAGCCTCCTGAGTCTAATGTACTAGTACATCTGTACATCTATGTTCTTCTTGCTCATTATGTCCCTCCACCACCTTTTATTACCCCCTTTTGGCAAATATTTCCCCCCACCACCACACTCAGTAATAACTCTTTTTTGTTTCAAATTATGATTATTTTGTTTGTATTCAACGGTGTATTCCTTTTTTTTATGTTAAAAAAAATTGTTTGGTTGTTTTGCCAGGCACAGTCAACATGTGAAGACTTTTGTTTTGGAGATTTTTAAGGGTTATTTTTTTTATAGTGACTAAGTTTATTTCTTTTTATTGTAAATCGTCTTTCCCCTGTTTATTTTGAGGGGGGAGGTGCTTGTAGAATCTTTTGCTAGCTACCCGCTGTCTTTCCACTGGGCAAATTTCTTGGCTAGATGGCACTGGCAGTAGTTGTCATAGTTTGCCAACTGTTTTTTTTTTTTTCTTTGGGACACACACGTACTGGAGTAGATCCGCCGGACTTGTTCTAGTTGCACCATGGTCACCTATGATGTAAATTGGAGTTATTTTGGGCTGTGCTGCTCGGTGTTCACCCACTCACAGTGTTGCCAAAGTCAGCTGCTGTTTTGTTTTTCTACTGAGTTTTTATTTGTCTTCTTGATTTTTTCTTTTTAATCACAATTTTTTAAAAATACCTTGAATGTTGTTTTTAAAAAAAAGATTTTCTATTTATTTACTTATTCCAGGCCTTTGCACCAGCTATCTAAATCTGTTATGATCACTCAGTTTCTATTTCACTCTTTTCTTTGCTTTCGTCAGTAATATGTGGTGTATCTCTTTGACCGTTTCACACACAGTATTCATCTATCACCAGCATTTACCTCCTTGCTGTTCATCATATGAGTCTTCTCGTGCTTACAAATCAGTATGTGTTGTTTCTTTTCTTGTAACGTCTTCCCCTTTTTTCTTTGTATGTCTGTAACTTGTTGTAGTTCATGTTCATCATTTTTTAAAGATGTTTTCTTCTCGATGCCTTGTGGCATCGTTGTCTGTTGTGATTTTGTGTTTCACTGATGCTGCTTAGGAAAAATGCTGTCTGCAAGAGCAATTCTGGGCTAGTTTTTTGAGCTGGCTAATTCTTCTGCTTTAGTGTTTGTCCCCCTACTTAGAGACATCCGAGTGTAGAAAGATTTGCCATTGATGTGGCAGTGAGGTTTATACATGCCGAAAGGAATGAAGCCCATGCTCACTCAGTATATGCAGTTGTCTGGGGGCATCCAGATTTTTTTTTTTGGATAGATGTTTTTCAAAAAACGATAGTATAGCTTATATATTATGATTAGATGCACAATTATTGATAGAGTTTATATGAATTTGTGTGTGTGTGTGTGTATGTGTGTACAAGAATGTGTAATTGTTGAATCAGGATGTAATGACTTTACTGGGAGAAATCATCTGATATTGTGTTAGAGAACATGAATATTGTACCTTGTAGAGATATGGAAATGTTGAAGGTATAAGTAAATAGTTTTATTTGACTCTTCTGTTCTGACCAAACGATCTGAACGTCTTGATGATTCTGAAAGGCCATTGTATGTAGCATACCTGGTTTCATGGTGTTTCCTCTCCCCTTTTTTGTTTTGAATCCAATATTTTTTCTACCGGTGCCGGTAGAGTAGTGGGATACACAGCAGTAGACATAGCTCTACTTCTCCTACCCTTTTTTTTCAAGCCAACTGAACCAAAACCCTTCCCTTTCCCTCTCCATAGACTTGTTACGTTGTCCTCATCATCACTTCCCCCTTTCTAGACATCTTAGCAGCCACATATGTTAGCTCTGGTAGAAAATGCTTAAATGTTATATTTTTACCTGAAAGGGCATCAACTACCCCCATATGAATACTAGCTGACAGAACTGGTAATGCGTCTCAGTTACCACCTGGTAAAATGTTGACTGTCTGCCCACTACCCCATAGGAACCTCTGATGGGTTAGCTAAGGTCGCTATAATGTTTTTACCTATATTTATTATTTTTGTAACGAGGGTGAAATCAGAAACTTCAGTTGCAGTGTGACCCCGGCAGTGATTTTTCAGAGAAAGCTGTGTATTTCTCTCGCTTGAAAAAATAAAATTGAAACCGATTGATGAAGTGAACTATGAAACAATGAAGACCTTATCACAGTATGCATCAAAATTGTAGTCTGTTTTCTGTTTGGTATAATGAAATTGTTTGAATAATGACTCTATTGTTCGGTCGGTTGTATCGAATATCACATGCAGTGACTGATATTATTCTGTGATGCCAACAGTCTTACAATTAATTGAATACTAGATTTATACCGTTTACAATAATTTTTATTCTCCTCCATAAATCTTCCTCATGTTATTTTCCTTACGCGTAAATTTTCGTTTTTTTTTATAAAGCACTATTTTTTACCACGAAGATAAAAGCTGTACAGCTGAATGCATCAATCTCTGTCACATCTATAGTGATGTTTTCAGATGGATAGATTATGATTGTCCTCATCAAGGCAGATTGTTGTGTGCTTAATCGTGATATATTCATATCTCCTTCATGTTTCACCAGTATTCTTTTGTGTTCTCCTCCTCTTCCTCCTCCTTCCTCTTTCCATTTTTCCTAACTTCACAATACATCACAGTCAATCGGAAAATCAGAGCACATTAATAGCATGTAGATACAGTGGAGCAATAACTGATCCGATCTTTTCTTGTAATAATAATTATTGTTTTTCTGTAAAAAGCAATGCTAATAGTGAATAACCACAGTGGCTCAATCATTAATCGTCATGGATATGTGAATGTCTCGCTCGACCAGCTGGAAAGCTGTTTTAACATTACGTATAATATTCTAGCGAGCACATCCGTTCGTTGTAAATTTGTTTGTATGTGCTTTGACCCCCCTGTTTGAAGCTTGAGGCTATAACTGGAAAACTGGTTCTAATTGCTATTAGATGTTAACAGTCTTTTGTTGTGCAAAGCCTGTTAGTTTTGTTGAAAAGGAAATAAGATTACTAATATATGTTTGGAGGAGACTGAGATTTGATTAAAGGTTCTGTCAGAAAAAAAAGAGTTGAATGCTTTTTTAAACTGGATGTTTCAGTAAAGTCATTTTTAAACAGCGACACTTTTTTCTCTCTAAAAAATCAACTTATACAGCAAAGTAATGTGTTGAAAGAGTCTGTAAAGAATTGATGCTGACATGCTTTGATAGGATGAAGATTATAATGCTTCTTATGCTCACTTTCTTTGCATTGTTTATATAGAAGTAAGTACGTGTGGCTATCCTCTAAGATATTGTTGACTACAAAGAGAATCCCTGTGAAAGTGACTGTTACAAGATATCCAAGGATAGACAATGATTGCATGCTTCAGAGAATTTATCGTGCCCTCATGAGATACATATAATCACTTGCTTAGTCAGTTTCATCGTACATTGTCAGTTTTGTTTCCTTTACGTAAATGTTTCTGCCAGAGAGAGTTTTCAAGTTGTAAATTTCATTCTTTTTTTTCCCCTTTTAATTTCAGGTTCAGGGTGAGATCAGGCTTCCAAAAACACAAGGAATTGCTGGCCATGTCGCTACAACGGGTTAGTAGGACAACATAATATAAGAGTGTCTTGATTGACTCCCCACTATGTTATATGACCAACTATGTTATATGACCTGTTTATGTATTTCTTGTGCCGGAAAACTGTTACTAAAACTAAACTAAACTGTGTGACCATTGGTAAATGACACATGTACTGACGCTCGACTTTGGTGTGTACTGACACTTGACTTTATGTGCCATTGGTTGATGACTATGTGTGTCATTAATTGGTGACATATATACTGACACTAAACTGTGTGTGCCATTGGTAGATTAAATTTACGCAGTTTAGTTTTTAATTGAATAGGACAGGTCCTCAAGTCATGGTTCTAATTTTGGGAATCCTTTTTTTTCTTTCTTTTTCTCAAAATTGAAAAGAATGACTCAGAAGCTTAAGGAATGACATTGGCAATATGTTATGTTGTATCTGTAATTGTGGAAGAGAGAGATGGGTGTGTTGGGCTGATCTTTTAGAGGGTGCCCCTTCTTCTTTTCTCTCCCTGTGTTGTTTCTGTCTGCTGTTCCACTCTTTTTTTTCCCAACAAGTGTTCATAATTGTCTCCTGCCCTGCACCTTTTGACTCTACCTCTCGTAAACTTAATTTGAAGGGGATAGGTGTGAGTTTGGATAGTGTCCTGGCTCCTAGAAAGTTTTCAGTTTACCACGTGTACCTGTTTTCACAAATCAGTCGCAAATATATTCGTCATTATAATTATCATTGTCATATTTCTTCCACCTTACCTATTGTAACCATCTGGCATCTACGGTAATGTATTTTCTCCAACATTACATCAATGCAATAGACTCCAACCAACAAACGCATTGTCCAGGTCTGCCTCAGGAATTTCTCCTCTAGGAGGACAAACAGAACCAAGATATAGAATTTTGTCAAACCTGTTCTAACGACCACCTGTAGGAAACAATCGCCTGTACAGACAACCATATCACTTCCCGCAGCCCTCCTTGCTTTTTAGAAAATGATATGATGACACTGTCAAAGACACTCAATTGTTTAAGACAACCACTTTTCTCCTCGACCATGGATAGCCATCATGGATAATTTTAACTGTAGTTGAAACATTCTGATCTCTTATTGTACAAAAAACATTTCCCGTACACTGTTCCATTTTCCTTCTCACTCGCTCTGTCGTGTTTTTATCAGTCACATACTATACTTACTCATCAGCTCACAGAAAAACACTATTATGCTACCAATGTCTGCTGTACAGTAGTCAGGCACTTCGTTGTCACATACACAAGACACGAGCTGAAATCCCTTTCAGGGAGATTTGTTTTTTTTACATGGAGTGTCTTCACCTGTCGTGTCCTGGGACTTTGTATCCCTCTCAGCCTCTCAGAGCCCTAGTTGGCCCTGTCAACCAGGGTCAAAGCATAGTGCCTCGTCAATGCCTGTATTATGTCAATGGGGGTGTAAATAATACACCTAGTTACTAATGCCATTACTGATGTGCTGTTCTCTTTGTCCTGGTATTCCTCAGGGACGCTGCTAAACATCCGAGACGCGTACTCCCATCCTTTGTTCTACAGAGGGATTGATGATTCCACTGGCTTTAGGACACGGTAAGTTATTTGATAAAAGTTTATAAGTTTTATGTTCAGGTATTGTGACTTCAGACAAGTTGTCATGTGGGTGCTCTGGTGGGGTTTGCTTCTTATTTCCTATGAAACCTCTATCATCCTTATCTCCCCTTCTTCTTTTTTATGTTTGTTACTCTCTTGTAACACCTCTAATCTTCTGGCGCTCATATGACCTTATGCAGTCGTGAGCGCCGTAAAACCTCTACTAAAACTAAAACAAGTAGTTATGACCTGTCAACCTGTGGTTTATCCCTTCCTTCATTTTTCTTTTGTTCTTTTGTGTTTCAGGAACATCTTATGCTTCCCTATCATGGATGAAGAAGGTAAGAAAAACTTGTGTTTTGCTTGCTGTTACTTATTTATCAGCATAAAAATGCTTTGTGATGGTCAATGATAAGTTGGGTTTTTTGTTGTTGTTGTTTTTTAAAAATTAAATCATTGCTTGAAGTTATCACCTGTAGCTCTTTGGTGGAGTTGGGCATTTTGGTCCTACTTTCTTTCTTTTTTTCTTTTTTTTTTTTCCTCTTTTTTTTAAAAAGATGTTTCTGAGTGAATTAAAATACTTATTTCTAAATAACTATGATGTTTTCAGATACTCTTTTAAACTCTTTTTTCTGTTCACTTCTAAAGATGGCCATTTCAGAAAAGGGACATAACTTTAATTCTTATTGTTTTTGCTGAGAGGAAGAAGTGAAGCAACAGTATGTTAAGTCCCTTTGCTGATAGATTTCACAGCAGGATTACCCAGTGCGATGACTTAGAGTGTCTTCTAGGATACAGTCTTTACTTAATTACACTCAGAAAAGTTTCAAGGCTGCTGGTTACGAACTTCACGCTTGTATTGATTTTGCCATAGGACCTCCGGTTCACTCATATGGCTTAATGTGTCACTGCATCTTGAGATTTGATAGTCTTCAGTCCAGATCTTATTCAAAGGTCTCGTTATTCTAGGGTTTTTTTTTAGAATACCAAAATCTCCAAACAATGCAAATTCAAACGAAACGTCCAAGGCTGCAAATAATTTTTTTTGCTTAGTTTCCTCGTAGAAATTAGGGTTTTTTGGTTTGTACTTTTGGTTTTTCCTTTTTTGACGACTTTTCATGTTTTTGTGGGGTAGAAGCCAGATGTTGTTTAATCCAAAAAAAAAAAAAAAATCAAGCTTGATACACCCAGCTCTCATAAATCTTAAAAATCTGTTTGGTCTTTATCATGTCCAGGGGTAGTGCTGGGTGTGGCTCAGCTGTGCAACAAGAAAACCTTCCAGTACTTCACAACTTTCGATGAGGATATCGCATCAGCCTTTGCCGTCTACTGCTGCATCAGTATCAGCCATGTGAGTACAGCTGTGTCATGTCGGGACCGTGCTAGGGGTGAGGGGAGTGGGGAGGGAGGAAAGATGGGAGAGGGAGGGAAGGGAGTAGCGAAAGAAGTGGGAGGTGGAATTATTTATATTTATATATGTACTGCAACTGCATCAGTATCAGCATTTTAAGTAGTAGTAGCTGTTGTGTTGGAATTGTCAGGGGGGGGGGGGGTTATGTGATGTGCATTCACACTGGCATCTGATCTGTGGTAGAAAGGCTAGTCTTTCCGCTGTCTGATGCTGAGGACATGAGTTTGATTCCCGAGTGGGGACGTATTTTTTATTGAGTACCCGCGTCTGCTGGTTGGACTGCACAAGCAGAGCCAAAGCAGTCTGTCTCCTAAGTGATCTAGACAATGTCAGTGGGAGCATGTTACACCATGTTTACAAATTTACATACATTCATAATAAAGATACTTGGCTGGTCTGAAATATGACAAGCATTAGACACGTCAGATACCTGATTTACAACGTTGATAATGTTAATTTGCTTTTGAATTTTTACAGTGTTTTGTTAGTTACTTTTTTATGTGGTTGTAGTCGTTTTAAAGGTTTTTGAGATATAGAAAGAATAACTTGTTTATTTGAGAGTAGGATTCATGTTGATAGCAAATATTTGTACAATGTGTGTTATATATAAATGTCTATACATAATATATAATTTGTTTCTATAATATGATCTTAACCTTTGGAAATTAAATGCTTGTTTTTGTTTCAGATGAAGAACTGGTGTCAGTTTAAAAATAACTTTTTTGTGTTTCAGACGATTTACTTCTTTGTTTTTGGAACAGAGGGTCTCCTTAGTTTTTCTGGGTTAATGCCATCGAAAAATGAAATACTGGCCGTGGCTGATGGCGTGAAATAATCAACTGCTTCCTTCTGTTCCTGCTTTCAGTCTCTCATGTATAAGAAGGTGATTGACATCCAGTACAGAAACAGCCTAGCCAATGAGCTCATGATGTTCCACATGCAGGTAACACCCACGTTCCCCCAGCCCCGTCCCCCTTTACCCACCTTCCCACCCACACTCCTCACAGTAGGAGGAGGGCCAGTGTGTGTTTTAGGGCTCCTCCAGCATTGTTTGGGCATGAACGTAGCGGAGAAGAAGTCATGGCGTAGTAAACCCTTCTCCTGTAGCCTCCCCCTCCTCCTCCTCTTATAGTTGACAGACTGACAGACTTCCCCAGTGTTGATGTTGTGAGCCTCGGTGTATGCTGGAGATGGAGAGAAAGAAAGAAAAAAAGAGCGAGTGAGAGAGAAGCAACAGGTGCGGTTGGGTTTGTAGAGGAACCGGCCTGGTGCGCTCTCTGCATGGACTTTTCACAGGGTCTCTGCAGCTCTTCAGTGTTGTCTTGTTTCTCATTATGTATTCGCTTTTTTCTCTCAGCTTTTTATGATTTTTGTCAATCTGCAATTGGTGTATTTCAGATATTTCTAGCCGGTTCTTCCCTCAGTTTTGTAGAATTATTGTGTAAACATTCCTGCCTCCAGTCACCTTTCTTTGTTTCATCCTGTTAATGTATTTTTCATCTTCATTCAATATTTTTACAGTAGTTTTTTTCTTACTTTTTCAATAACTTTTTTAAAAAAATCTTGTGCGAGTCATCCATTCAGTGCAAATGAAAGAACATTGAAAAGATTAGATATCTACTTCAGGAATTTAAAATTTGTCTAATTTTATTTTCCTTTTCTATAATTAAATGTAATATGCGAATTAGCATTTATATATATATATTATTTCCTTACTTTATTCTTTATAATTACTTTTTTTTTCAAAGCATTACCACCAGCGAGATCATCTTGGATCCGGTTGTTCTCCATTTTCCCTTTACTCGTTCACCAGTCTTAGTTGTTTGCACTCAATGCATGGTTCCAGACTCTCCGAAACACTGGACAGTCTAGACATTGAAGACCCGGACAAGGAATGTGTAGAACTCCCAATCTCCTTTTCTGTATTAAAAAAAAATTTGTTGGTTAAACTATTGATAGACCATGTGGAAAATTCTTTTGTAGTGAATATGATGAAAATGTAGAAAGCAGAGTGCAGTGATGAGTTATATTCGGAAATGCACTCTCTATGTGAATTGTCAGTTGAATTTTGGCTTTTTATCATATTGAAAAAAATTGGTTTTATGTTTTTTTAAAGAGTTAGAACTATTGCCGTTTTGCATAAAAGTGTAGTTCTCATATCAATGGAGAAAGTATCCCATAAAGCTTTTTGGGAAGACATACTGCAACAGTAACAACTAAAGTTCACGGTTCTGAAGTTTTGAATCAGTCATTTACACACTAATGGAAGTTTCTTCTAAGCGGCTTCTCTGTTGTGTAAGATCCTTGCACATTAATGCTGTGCATTTTAGATTTTAAAAAAAAATATTGTATGTTAAAATTACATACTCATTGATATTGCTGTTTGAAGTTTCACTCAGCATTTCACCAGCAAAGACTAATTCCTCACTCGCAAAAACATGTCCATGTTGAATACATTACCTTCGGGATTTCCTAAATGGCCTCTGTCCAGTGTTCCTGTGAGTAAATATGTATGTGTATGTCCATTTCTCTAAGTGCCGAGGTACAGGCTCTCCAGGCAGCTGTCAGACAGCTGGGACTCATGGCACGTCAGGGCAGGGCTTTCAGCTCACACTGTGTGCACTCGAGTTGAAAGAGGCTCAAATGATAGATGGGGCGAGAATGGTGGACAAAAAAGTTCTGTTGGTGGTACAATAGTGAGTGAAGAGTAAGATCATTGCTGTTCTGTATGATGACTTATTTCTGTCTTGAAAAATAAAACTAAAAAAGATTTGTTAAATAAGGAGTCTATAATGATAAAGACGTGATGGAATTGGAAAATTGGAAATACTGTTTTGTACAAAAGGAACTAGACATTATACAGTCGGCTATTGCAATGCCCAAAGTCCAAGACCTCTCCTTGCTGCAAAACTCGAAAGAAAATTGATTGGATTGAAAAGAGGGAGGGAGAGAATGTTGATTTATGTTGTTGAAATTTAGCGAAAACAACGCGAAAGAAATTGATTTTTAAATACCCCTAAAATGGTCAAAAGACCTGTCATAATGGGTTTTTTGGTATTAATATAAAGAAATACATTGCTACAGGTTGAGAAGAACAGAAAACTTTAGATTTTTTATATTTGGGGAGTACAGATAAAGGGTGAAGACGTCCAAACCTCATGCTAAATACTGCAAGGGGATTCCATGATGCTCTGAGGGCAATGTGTATTACAAGAGTGCCATGCACTTGTGACAAGTGTTAATGTTACTTGTGCAGTATGGTAGGAGCCCCGCCCGGTTTGCTCATGGTCTGTGCTGCACTGATGTACTGTACGTGTGATGTACGTGCCCGTGACTGCCTTCATGTTGTCCCCTGCTGGTCTGGCAGCTCAGATGTTTGACTTGTGCCTTCATAACCGACTGAGAGAAGTAGACTGCTGAAACAAAAACAAGAAAGTTGTGAGTTAGGAGGGGTTTTTTGTGCGCATGTATTTTTTTGTCAATTCGGTTTTATGTAAAAAAAGAATAATTCTTTAATTCTTTTAAATTTCTTTTCTGTTTTTTTTAAAAAGATGACAAAGAATGTCCCTTAACTGTATCACATTTGTTTTATAATATAGGGCCCAGGTGCTACTGTTTTAGGGTCAGCGGTGTCTAAAGACCCCAAAGAAACCAGATTCATCACTGCAGTAATACCAAGCTCACAGCTTGCGCTTTTTTTCTTTTGCAAATATCAATTACAATCAAGGGTCACATATGTAGTTTTTGTTGCTAAATGATGTTTTGACCTGAAAATGGTTGTGCAGCATTATGACAGTCTCCCTCTCTCAGTCCCCTGCATGATGCCACACTTGACTTTGTCTCGTCATGGGTGGCTACAGTGTAATGTATCTTTGTTAGATCATTATCTCTTTCTTTCTCGGGAAGGCTTCATGAAATTCCACGTTCAGATGAGTGAGTTACCCTTGTATCAGCGAGTTTTGTCTCTCACATGAGTGAGTTTTTTTACTTAAGAAATTGAATAAATAAATAAATAAAAATCATGAGTGCGCTGTTCCATTCATATGCCCGTGTATGGACTCGTGCAGCCTTCCTGTGTCATCTCTCAGTTGTTGCCTGTCTTGGGTGCCCTTGAGACAAACTCTCTGAGTCTGAGACGCCGGTCTCCGGGACAGCTGCTGTTGCATGGAGACTGGCTGAGGTTTGTGCCAGGGGTGACAGTGTGACCATTCAGATCTTAACTACAGCATATTGTGTCCCGGTTTACTTAACAATTTTTTTTTTCTCTTTGGCTCTAAATTAGCGGCTACTTGCGTGTAACCGAGGTTTCCCTCGTTTCTTTTTCTCTCTTTCTCTGAAACGTATTATATACTTGTGTAATAAGTTATGAAGTTGTTGTCTCATCCGGTTGATTTCACAAGAGCTGTTATGTCAATACAATAAGAAACAGCAAAATCAGGCATGGCGGGTTTTGTTGCTGAAAAGTTGTGAAATCTGAGGTTTGTCGTGTTTAACCAAAAATGACACTTGGTATTTACGATTGAAAGAAAAATCGTTTTGATTTATATAAGAAAAGAAAATAACGAATGACCGGACTTCAATATCTGAGCTAAATCTAAGTGGTCACTTGAGAGTAGAACGTAGAATCTGCATATCTTTATTTTTTGTACCGATGTCTTTATTTTTACAACTTTATTTGGACAGTAGCTTTTCCTGCACCTGTAGTTGACATATTTATTTACTTTTGTGCATTTTCTTTTTTTTTCCCATCCTCTTCGTCCCTCTTTTTAAAAAATCTCTTCGTGTTGGTCGGCCCCTGTGATTTGATTCTCCACACACACCCTGCGTCACTGGTGGTTAATTGTTGTGGGCGTGTCCTCCCTGTGTGGTGGGCGTGTCCTCACCTTGTTGTGGGCGTGGTCTGGTGTGTCGTGATGGGCGTGTCGTTGTTGTGGTGGTGCAGTCCTTGATGTACAAGAAGCTGGTGGACACGCAGCACCGACAGAGGCTGGCCAATGAGCTCATGTTGTACCACATGCAGGTAAACAAACAAACAAATGAAGCAAACGAACACACGTGTGTAAGTAAAGACACAGCACACGGGAAGATCCATGCGTAGTTGCTGCGTCATGGCTGCAAGATCTGACCTGACAACGCATGCTGAAGGAACCTTGGTTCTCTATACTTTCTTGCATGCAAGGGCCACAATTGCGTGCTTGGTTACACATGCAAGTTCAGTCGACATCCGCTTGCGTTCACATATTATTCACACTTACACCCATGCAACCACACACGGACAGGTCCACACTCACCACCGCCTCAGAAGTGCAGTCCAACAAGCCATTATACATACATGATATCATGTGGTGCGACGCCTGATACATGTATCGCCAGACTTGCACATACAGTTATACACGTCTCCGCTATGGTGCCATATCTAGCATGCACATGCAGCTGTACACATCTCCGTTATATATGGTGCCATTATTATGTAGCATGCACATACATTTTTTACATGTACACACCTCTCTCCTCTTATGGTACCTTGTCTAGCTCTTTTGTGATGCCATATCTACCATATGTGCATGCAGCTCTACACGTCCATAATTTGTGGTGGCATGTCTGGCATCAAGCATGCACACATAGCCTTACGTGTTCATCCAGGATGGCACTTCTGATTCCAGTGCACACACATGATAGTTTTAACCACGTTACACAGTACGCGCGCGTGCATGCATGCACACTTACACACACTCACACACACACACACACACACACACACACACACACACACACACACACACACGGCAGAGACAGACAGACAGGCTGCAATGGCATCAGATTCCCACGCATGATGCAAACAAGGGTTAAAAAACCCAATAAATCCGAACCACATAGTACGTTATCTCTATCAGTGTTCCTCACCATAGTGAACCAATAGTTTGGAAGGGTTGAATTTTGTTG